GTATCAAGCATGATGCATATCTGAAGTCTACTTAGATACTGTATGCAGGCTAAATAACTAGCCCTACATGTTCTGTAAAACACCAGAGTGACTAAGAAGATCATTGTATCCATCTTGAGAACTAAGCTGTGGATAGGACTTACAATAGGACTCAATTCCAAACATCCTACTTCACAGCATATATAGTCCACGTGCCCAGCAAACAGTCTACAGAGTCTATTTAAAAACTCAGCCTCTCCTCATCACGATTCTTGATTTTAACGTGGAACAAGAATCTGCAAAGGCTAAAAACAAATCAAGTGCGATATTACTCACCAAATTTTGACAGAACTCGAAACAAGAGCAAGTTCTGCTGGAAGACGATGAATCGTTTTTCCCACCAAACACAGGGAGTGGAGGGTGGTTAGCCAATCAAAAATTACCAGCACTCAAATCAATCACTGTCACTTAAAGGAGTGGATTTACCTCATCATCCACATTCTGGCCCAGAAATAGGAATCTCACTATGTGTTGTCCTTTCCACAGGACACCGGTTCATAAGATGGAAGGTCAATGTGTGATTCTAAACTTGGAATCATACTTGAATCCAGAGAATTAAAAGCAGTATGGCAACACGAGGAATGAGAATATGATATTTGGCCCCTCTAGCCCGCACAGCACTCAATTACAACAAAGCAGAGCTGCACTTGACTTCCATTTTGCAGCCATAGCTGTTTACACATTAATACATGGGCTTAACAAATGTGTAAATTCTCAGAATAGAAAACCTCATCATTGTCGCAATCTAAACCCTTGATTTGAGAAGAGTTCTTGTTGGTCAGATCTCAGTTCAAAGTCTCCATAATAGTGATCCTGTCACTGGATGGATAATTCAGAAGCTTGGGCGAATACGTTGGTGACATTGGGTTAAGTACTACCTCATAGATTTTAAATTGAATGAATTAATAATATCTGAAACTGAAAGCTAGTCTTGAGTAATGAAGCTATCATCAACTGTCCTAAGAAAACCTGATTTACTCAAACCCTTTTGAAGATGAAGTCTAACGTCGTTATGCTGGTCTGACAAACTTCTCAAGTCTGAAATGGTCTAACAAGCTTCTCGGTCATGGTAACTGGGGAAGGGCAACAAATGCTGCTCTTGCTAATGATGCCCACAACCCATGAAAGAATAAAAAAAAATCCCTGAGTAAACACAATTTCTATCCCTTCCTTCATCCTCTTATGAACGCTCACCCTGTCCAAAGCCAATCAATACAACAATCCCGAAAAATAATCATGCTGGACTCAAAATGTTACCTGTTTCTCTCTCTACAGATGCTGCTGGATCTGAATTTCTCCAGCAGCTTCTGTTTTCATTTTAGTTTTTCACCACCTGCAGCATTTTGTTTTCAAGATAACTAACTTTTTAACATTCCACACAAACATGGATAACTCCAAAACAAGTAAATCAACAATGGTGTATAACGTTTCTGCAACAGTTCTGATAGTTTGTGGTCATTTTTGGTAATGTCCCATTGCTATGGGATGGGATTTTCCAGAATTTGAGACCACTTGGGGCAACTTGCCTACAAGATAATGAACAAGTCTGAAGATTCAAAGTTATGAAAATGATGAACAGGAAAAGGCTATTTGGCCCATCTAGCCAGCCCCAGAGGGTTTTGAAAACAAGGGAAGGCCTAGTGGTATTATCATTGGACTGTTAATCTTGAGACCCAGATAATGTTCTGGGGTCCTGGGTGCAAATCCCACCACGGCAGATGGTGGAATGTGAATTCAATAAATACGTGGAATTAAGAGTCTAATGATGACCATGAATCCATTGCCGATTGTTGGAAAAACCCATCTGGTTCACTAATGTCCTTTAGGGAAAGAAACTACCATCCTTACCTGGTCTGGCCTACATGTGGCTCCAGACCCACAGCAATGTGGTTGACTCTGAACTGCCCTCTGGGCAATTAGGGATGGACAATAAATGCTGCCTAGCCAGTGACACCCTCATCCCATGAATAAATTGAAAAAACTTGCAAGTGTCAGGGTTAGACATTCACTATATACATTCATCTGCTGAGGGGGCAAAGACCCTATGGGTTTTTTGGAAAATCATGTGGTATGTTGAGAGGATCACGGCCGTGATAATGAGCATTTTAGACAAAACATCCTCAAGTTTCAACTACTTACTCTTTAATCTGTTCCCATTTTCTCCCCATACCCTTTGATCCCTTAAGCTCTAAGATCTATATTTAACCCCTGTATTTAAAGCATTCAACGTGTTGGCCTGAACATTTTCTGTGGCAGAGACTTCCACAGGCTAACCGCTCTTCGGGTGAAGACATTTCTTCCCCACTCAGTCCTAAGTTGTCCAACCCATATCGCAATACTGCCTATGGCACCTTGCTGTGTGCAAACTGCCATGCTCATTACACTGGGGAAGATAGTGGCCCAGTGGCAATGTTATTAATCCAGAGAGCCCAGCAATGCTGTGGGAAAATAGGTTCAAATCTCACCAGATCAACTGGTGGAACTTCAATTAATAAAACCTTGAATTGAAAGTGAGTCAATGAAATTATCATCGATTGTTGTAAAATCCTATCTGGTTTATTAACGAGCTCTAGAGAAGGAAATCAACTTTCATCACCTGGCCTACACATTATTCCAAACATGTAGCAATGAGGTTAATCATTAATTAGCCTAAGAAGCATTCAGTTCAAGAGCAATTCATAGAATCACAGAACCCCTACAATGTGTAAGTTGGCCATTCAGCCCATACTGACCCTCCAAACAGCATCCCACTCAAGCCTATCCCCCTTTCTCTATCCCTCTAACCCTGCATTTCCTGCGGCTAATCCACCTGGCCTGCACGGCCCTGGACACTATGGGCAATTAGCATGGCCAATCCATCTAACTTGCACATCTTTAGACTGTGAGAGGAAACTACAGCACCCAGAAGAAACCCATGCAGACACGGGGAGAACGTGCAAATGCCACACAGACAGTTGCCCGACAGTGGAATTGAACCCAGGTCCCTGTGCTGTGAGGCAGCAGGGCTAACCACTGAGCCACCATGCTGTGCAATTAGAGATCGGCAACGTGAAGAGCCTGGCAGCGGCACCCACATCTTATGAAAAGAATTTTATAAATGAGAGCACTCAATTCTACATCAAACAATCTCCACTGGCTGAAGGATACTTCAGGAAGTTCTAAGTTCATAGGAGGAGCTATCTAAATCCAAATCCTTCCTTAACTTGGTATCAAATGGTAATACGTGATCACCATTCAACTGACCATCACGGTTTTGTAAAATAATTTTATAAAACAAAGTGTCAATTTATGTTTACTCCTTATACATTCCTGAAATTGATAACGCAAAAAAATGATAATTAAACCAAATAAACGAATCCGAAACCATACAGCCCTACTCAGACAAAAAAAAGGAATTTGACCTCCCTGGTGATGCTTTACTATAGAATCATTCCAATAAGCAGTGGCTGACACTTTGCTGTCATCATACGTTTCTGCTCGTGATACAATCATTGATGTTTATAATGTTCAGGAATATGACATTCTGTCTCAAAGAGGTGACACAGCACATTCTGTATAGTGTGACATGAAGCGTGAATAGTAACCACACAAGTGGTTGGTGTAACTACCAAGGCAACAGCTCCTCCAGCCCAAGTTCCAAGTCCTATTTTTGTTGGCCAGAGGTAAATAAAGAGGCTGGCATTCTACTACACACAGAGAAGCATTGTTTGCCTTTCACTTGCACAAAGATAAAGTACCAGTTGATATGTAAACCACAATACTCAGGGCAAGAGCAAGGGCTCATAAGAGTAGAATTAATGTTTAGTCTAAATCACTGAAACGTTGCAGGGAAGTGCACTTATGCTTCATAATATCTCTCACACTGTTATCGGTGATGAAAGGGTCACATTGTAATGCCTTGATTTATTCTGCATGATTTTACTCGACTGGTATTTGCAGCTTGCAAAGCTGTTAAAGAAACATTAAGATTCTTCAGCAGTATTTTTGGATGAGTATTTTCATCATAGTATTGGATTCAAAGAATTGGGGCATTATAACTGAGGGTACAAGTCAACAATTAGTGGCAGCAGTTGGTCAATTTCCTTTTGAGGAGTTGTACTAGTCATATGCTCCGCTAATGAGGAACTTGTATAACTGGCAACTCCAAACATCTTAAAGTCTTTCTTGTCTCAAAGAACAACAGAAAAATAATCTTGCATTTACAAAGCAACCTTAATTTCCCCAGAATGACCAAAAACACTTATTGGCCAATGAAAGCTTCTTTGAATAGTAGTCAATGCTGTTGATTATTCAATCTCAAAATGAATTTGATGAGACAAAACAGCAAACTTACTTGTAAATAGTGGCTGCAACGACATTGTTCTTTTTGACTATAACTCAAAAACAATCAATGAAGAAAATAATTGCACTTATTTACAACCTTTCATATCCTTGAGTCCTGACAGTCAAAGCAGACTTTTAGCTGAGCTTTTCGGTCCTGTTTGTTGGGTGAGACAACAAGGGACATAGAGAAAAGGCAGAAAAATGACACTGAGGTACAGATCTACTGGAGATGGCTCAGCTATCTGAAAATGGAGCAGGTGTGAGGTGTTGAACAGTCTGCTCCTGTTCCTGTGATATGTAGACAACAAGGTAAGTATTGTACATTGCGTAGTATTTAGCATAACTGACTCATCAATGGCTCAACCCAAGTTACTATTAGTTTCTGTGCTTTCAACTAAATGCCAGGGTTTCAACTTGGGTCGATCAAGAACCGCTTCATATTTGCATGCATTGTACTTCTTCGTTGTAACCAAATCTGATGTAGCATGATTGATGCCTGACATTAAATAGGCTTCCCTCCAGCAAGATAATAGAAATCTCACTTTGCCAAATTGTGCTCTAAGACAAACCAATAGTATTCTGCTTTTATCTGTGTTTTTTTTTTCTTTAAGCTTGAAAATAGTGAAGGGTCCACTTACTTCACCAGGTTGAGGGATTGTCAGCTTTGGTAACTTGCACTTTGTACTTGCTGTGCTGGGTTTTCCATCCAGAAGGCTGCCAAACAGCTGGCTGCTAAAAGCATCATCCATCTCCATTAGTGGCTTTAGTTCAGGCGACTCAACAGGAACTTGGTCTTGTCCATCCATTGGTCTCACGTAAGCAGTGGGCTTCTGCTGCAGCATGCTTGACTTGGAATAAAGTCCCGGGGGGAAATTCTGAGCGGAGAGTGCACTGCTACAGGGTATCAGGGATGTTGAAGGAGCTGGGGACCCCGAAGAATGGAGAGCAGTGTCACTGTCAACTGGAGACTTTATGTGGCAGCTCTCTTTGTAGGCATGATCTCCACTGCTGGATTTGGAATGGCTGTGTCTTTTGGAACGGGAAGTGGTACTGGGACTGGGTGACTGTGACTTAACGCAATCATCAATAATAGCCTGGTGATCACCTTTGTGCTGCTCAGTCTGATTGCTGTACAGGTCACTGTACCGGTCCTGGGCTTGTTCATGCTTTCCTCGGTTCTGCTGATTGTTGGACTGGCCAATGGATTGCACACTGTGCCCACTCCCAGAACCATGTCCGTTGCGAGGCCACTCCATCCGGGACTTCTTGTTGCTCTGGTGCCCGTGCAGCAATGTTGAATTCAATGATAAAGAGGAAGAAGGCGGAGGCATGCACGATGAGGAATGACTACTGCTTTGGTGGGACGAGGCTATTTTGGTTCTGGGCTCGGTGAAGAAACTCTGCTCCATTTTCTCGACAGGTGTCTGCGGAATCAAAGACTTGGGGATCCCCACTAGGTGACTCTGGTTCGAGCGGTTCGTTAACAGATCCTTCATTTCATCGTAGTTCCCTAATGTACTCTGCACACGGTTGGAAAGAGCATCACCCTTGCTGGTCTGAAAGAAATTAGACGGCATACAAGACTAAACAGTAATTATTTTAAAAGCACAACAAAGAATCCTTATAATAGACAACACGGCAAGGTCGCCAATTGATACTTAATACATTTGATCATGCTTTGCATATTGAGTCACAGTTACCAAAAATTAATGAACGTGATTGTTTAAGAGGTTGTTTTAAAAATTTAACTGGTTCCCCAGTGTCCCAGTGGGGAAGACAGGAAGGTGCTGCCCTTACCCATTCTGGAACACACATGACTCCAGTCCAGATTGGCACAACCAAGTCAAATAGCCAAGGGAGCTACCTGTTGCAATCAAAAGGTTATGTTGTCTCCCATTTTTTGTGCGTGGGAGGGTAAATAAAACTTAGCAGCCTGAAATCAAACAGAAATAATATAACTCGGGCAAAGCCAACTCCTTGTTTGAAACAAATGATCCCGGAGCCCAGGCAGGGACCATTTCTGCCATGTTACCAATTATGCTGACATGGCAAATCAATTCTTTAAATGGTCATTCCATTTTGTCCCTGTCAGCATTTACCAAAAAGCACAATCCCCTTTGAAGATTGCAGGCTTAAAGGCTGCAAAATATACACTCAATTAACCCACCTTTGATTTTTTTTTCTTCTTCCCCCAGCCCCTTTTAAGTAGCATTTAAAGCTTACTGAGGGTTGGGAGGAGCAAATTAAATATTAAACACTGGGCTGCAAAAACTGCACTTGTTCAAAAAAAAACAATTTAAAACGAATTTGCAAATGGCATTTATCTGCCCTGTGATGTATGATACAGCAATTATATTGCAATCGATAAAATGCCATTTTCGTCACTGTACTTCTTTTGATCAAAGCCTAGAAGATGTGTTGCAGATATACTCAGTCACAATGTAAAAACAGTTATGTGGCATCTCTTGTCCATTTACAAGGAAGACAGCATTTTATAGTGGATAACTGGATTAGACAGCATTAGAATCAGAAAAGGTTGGGTTAAGTTTTCCGATGATGGACAATGTAAATATATTGTGTTTTCAGCAGTCTAATGCATGCTAGTAGGTAAATTGCACTTCTTTTTACAAGGGACACATAACACAAACACACTTAAGCTTTATTTATGGCATTTTGGTGAACAATTGGTTGGTAAATGATTATCCCACACAAATCATGCAAGATGAGCTCAATAAGAAAGATGATTTGCTTTCATTTCTGACTGCACTTCACTTGCTGTTGAACTAAAAATGAATTTCAGTCACTGCAAAGGGACTTGTGCGTCAGTTTTCTGTATAATCTTTTAATACCCCTTCAGCTTTGACAAGGTATTTTCTGGGTGATTGGTCAGTAGCACTCTGGATTTTTTTTGTTTCAAAAATATACTTTATTCATAAAAATATCTTTTATATACATGCATAGCTCCTAAAGCAGTTCTGTTCTACATAGTAGCATTTGAAGAAACAAACATTGGAGTTCAGCAAACAAACTAAAGGCTTTTCTTACTTGTACAAGGTTATATTTACACATATATTTGAGGTTTCGGGAGGGGCACTGCACACTGGACATCACTGAAATTAGTTTATTGGAACACCTTCCACACTACAACAACACACACCCTTCTCCACCTCCCTACCCCTCCAGTAAGCACCACGTTTGCTTTGCAAGAACACTGCTGACCTTCCCCATTGACAGCCTGGTTGCAGCTGGCCAAAATGGTGGTTAGGCCGCACAGACCCAATGTCAAAAAATATTGCTTACAACCACAGCCACAGCTCAACGTTGGCAGCTACACCACTTACTCATCTGGAGACGGCAAGAACTGCTGATGCTGGAGTCAGAGTCAACACAGTGTGGAGCTGGAGGAACACAGCTGGCCAGGCAGCATCAGAGGAGCAGGAAAGCTTACGTAAGTTTTGATGAAGGGTCCCAAGCCAAAACATTGACTTGCCTGCTCCTCTGATGCTGCCTGACCTGGTGTGTTCTTCCAGCTCCACACTGTGTTGACCCCCACTTATTCATCAATCTTTCTCTTCAAGCCTCAACAATGGAGGGCATGTCACTTCCCTTTCTGTACCTTCTCTGCAGTTTATCCCTCTCACCTACAAGTGAAGCTCTTAATTAATTGGTGCTTTTGTCAAACACAATTGCTTTCCCACTGTGGCCAGCTTAGATGGAAATATTTTTTGCACATTAAAGAGGCCTGGTATCCCTGAATGACCCACCCAGAGTATCTACTCATTTCCCCCTTGTGGAGCTGGAATCATCAGGACTTCACCTCTCAGCTTCTCACTTCCAATCCAATTGAAAAGAATGTGACAATTTTGGTCACCAAGAAAAAAAAGACAACTTTATTCAGCATGAATCCTGTAACACCAATTAGCTAAATTTAGAAACTATAGATGCGATTTTTCTCTCACAAGTTTAACAGTAATTACTGCAAATTGATTAATTAATGGCGTGGTTCAAAACAAATCAGATTACTGAAGTGTTATCACTGTCACTTTGCTGCTCTTAATGTGCAAATATGCCAAGGTACACCAAAATTAAACATAAACGACTTTTTAACGTATTTGGACCAGGCTACCTTGTAAGGTTCACTGAACAGATTAAAACTTGCAGCAAACAGGTCCTCATCTTGATGGACTTCCTGGTTCCGTCTTTCCCATTCCTTCCTCCGCAGCGCATTCCGATCCTGTTCGTAGTGACTGCAACAAACATTGGGGAGATGGCAGTTAAAGACACGTATACTAAAGCTGGCTCTGCCAAGCTGACAGACAAACGCAACAGACAAGAGAACAGAACTTACACTTGTTCAGCAAAGAGCAATGATGCCCCTTTGATACAATGAACAACTCAACTCAAGAATTGGTGGGGAGTGGCACAGGGACGGGAGGAGTGATGTGGGGGTTCGACAGACAGACCTTTTGAAACCTTGCGGGCAAAAAATTTTGAAAACCAAAGAGGTCGGCAGGCTCCAACTTGCAGCGCCAACACACAAGGGACCTGCAGCAAGGGACACTTGTGTGCACTCAGCCTGCACTGATTTGTTATGAGTGTTTGGTAGCAGTTAATTAGCGAACAAACTCAAAATGACAATTTAAATAGTAGATTGCACACACTGATGATATCTGCTGCAAGGAAAAGCCTCAACCTCTGCTGGCTTTTGTACAGCACAAATACAAATATTAATACCAACTGCAAGGTTGGGGCATTTAGGCACAGCTCAGATCAGCTGAAATTGAAAAATCACCAAGAACTCGAACTAATTTTCCAATATTCTAAATAGGTCTCAACAGATCACAAAAGGGTGTAATGGGGAATGAACTGTATCACTTAGAGGATTAAATACTACAGCAATTCCTCTTTCAGTGTTTTAAATGTCAATTATTAATTTGCAACAGCAGCCAATTAGACTAGTGGTTGATCATTTAGACCCTTTGTTCGGTTTGCCGAGGCAGTGTTTACACTTATATAAGCATGTTAACTGCAATCAGTCTTTTAGAATAAAAGGGGAGTGTGTTTCTCTCTTATTCCAGTGCAGTGTTGGCCCTTCAAAATAAAAGCTGTAACAATGCCTTGAGGAAAAACAATAGTCTATTAATGATGCATGCTATTATTAACGCACCAATCTGCCAGAAAGTACTAGAGATGAAGAGATATGCCTTGTGTTATGGATCTCCGAAACCTAATGCTTAATACACATTGCAGTACTTCTTGCTTTGCACCAATTAATCTCCACATTAATTGTTCAATAAACACTGCAGGAAGTTTGGACACAGGATTGAGCACCTTTTCAACGAGGTGACATAAGAACATAAGAAGATAAGAACTAGGAGCAGGAGTAGGCCATCTGGCTCCTCGAGCCTGCTCCGCCATTCAATAAGATCATGGCTGATCTTTTCATGGACTCAGCTTCACTTCCCCAGCCAAACACCATAACCCTTAAATCCTTTACAGTTCAAAAATCTCTCCATTTTTGCCTTAAAAACTTTCAATGAGGTAGCTTCAACTGCTTCGCTGCGCAAAGAATTCTACAGATTGACAACCCTTTGGGTGAAGAAATTCCCCCTCAATTCAGTCCTAAACCCCTTTATTTTGAGACTATGCCCCCTAGGTTCTAGTTTCACCTGCCAGTGGAAACAACTTCCTTGCTTCTATCCTATCTATTCCCCATCATTCTTCTAAATTCCAGTGAGTACAGTCTACTCAATCTCTCCTAATAAAGAAACCTTCTCAATTCTGGAATCAACCTGGTAAACCTCCTTTGCGCACTCCCCACCCCGACCCTCCAGTGCTTTTAACATTTCTTAATGCAATGCCAATCAACCTTTCTAGTCCAGAAATGTTCAAACTCATTCCCTCACGTAGTGGATTGTTATTAGAGATTTTTCAAAAAAATTAATTTGAAAACTTTATTTTTTTTCTTACTTTTCTTTCTGGTTCTTTTCTTTCCTTCTCACTATTCCTGTTTCTCTAACATCGTCCAGAATCTTCCTCTGTTTCTTTCTCAGTTGTTAACTCTCATCTGTTAACAACTAATCTACTGGTCCTGTTATTCACTAAAAGGTCCCAGGTAGCCTGTGCCCTCATCGTGTCAGTATCCTCTTGCACTTCCAGCAGTTTAAGAATGCAAAAGAATTGTGAGCTGCGGAGAACATTTTTAAAAAATGCTGAACTAATGGCGCATGGGGTGAAACGCTCATCTCCAGGCAGATCCAGCCCACAGATATTTCAAAAGACTGGTGAAGGAAAATGAAAAGATGTTAACACATATTAGGCAGCTGTAATAAACATTCGCTACAAAATCCTGAAGGTGATGAGTGACAAATGTAAGTTTAAAAAGGTACCTGCAATGTTCTTCTGTGTGCCATTGCAAAACAAGCATTAACACGTTTACCTTGAGTCAGTTAACACACATGTTAAATATGGCAGATCAAAGGATTGTCTTAAGAGCAATGACTGCCAACATTAAATCAGATCTTTTCAGAAAAGCAGCCTGCCAATCAGACATTTCTGAAAAGAAATGGAATTACATTTAAGGGATAATGAACATTGAGTGCAATAATTAGTGAGTAATATATCCAAGGATTAGGTCGGGCATGTTACCAAAGTCAAGTACTTAAAATACTTTTGGGAGCACATTCACTATTTTGTCACTTCATTGATAAGTTTTGTTGTCCTCTTGACTGACACAGATTGAATTCTTTGAAGTATATGTTGTACATATGTTGGATTTTGACCAACATTTGGATCCTTTCTGATAACTGAATACATAAGGGAATGTTTGCCTTTTTAAAACTGATTGCAGTATGGCAGCTGGCGCTGAGATGATAGAATTAAAATAATTCAGCATCAAATCCTAATCTTCACTGGCATCAAATCCTAGTCTCTACAGTGTCAAAACATTTTCTCAGAATGCTCGAGCCCCTTAGGATCCCATCCAACATTAAAGGTGCTATATAAATGCAAACCTGAGGCATGTAAAAAATGACTAAAATCAAGAGCGCGCTTCAGTTTCACAATTTCAGAAATTCCCAAAATGTTTTACACTCATTGAAGTGCTTCTTAGTCACCATATCAATGTAAGAAATATGCAATCAATTTTCACACAGACAATATGAGATGGTCAGATTTTTAGTGATTATAGAGGATAAATACTGTCCATGGCTTTGGGGGAAATCTGACCCTGCTCCCCTTCAAGATAATTCTGTGAGATCTTTTACATTGACACAACAGGATAGATGGATCTTCAGTTATTCGCAAGACAGCACTCACTCACTGCTACACTGGGAGAGTCAGCTGAGGTGGGAAGGCAAGTGGTGAGGATGACAGAAAGAGGTTCCAGAAGGATACAAGCAGGTTAAGCAAGTGGATGAAAACTTGGGAGATGAAATATAATGTGGGAAAATGTGTGTAATTATGTACTTTTGACAACCATATTAGAGGAACTGAATATTATTTAAATGGGGAAGGACTGCAGAAAGCTGGAGCACAAAGAGATTTGGGAATCCTCATGCATAAATTGCAAAAAGCTGGCATCCAAGTTCAGCAGGTAATAGGGAAGGCAAATGAATGTGGGTCTTTAGTCTTGTTAAAAAGTCAAAAGACACTGGTTAGACTATACCTGAAATACTGAGACCAGTTTTGGTCCCCATGTTGAAGAAAAGATATACTAGCATTGGAGGCAGACCGGAGAATGTTCATGAAGTTGAACACAGGCATGCAGAGACTGTCTTATGAGGAAAGATTGAGTAGGTTGGGCTTGCATGCTTTGGAATTCAGAAGAATGAGAGGCAACCTTATTGACATATAAGATTCTCAGGGAATCTGTGAGGGTTAATGTGGAAAGATTGTTTCCCTTGTGGGAGAGTCAAGGACCAGTGGGCATAATCTCTGAGTAAGTGGTCACTCATTGAAGACAAGAGATGAGGAGGAATTTCTTCCCTTAGAAAGTAGCGATCTGTGGAATTCTTTGTCACAGAGGGCTTTGGAGGCTGGCTAATTAAGCATATTCAGAGCTGAAAGACAGGGTTTGAATCTGTTCAGGGAATTAAGAGTCAATGGGGAAGAGGCAGGAACGTGGAGTTGAGGATTATCTCATCGAATGGCAGGGAAAACTCAAATGACCTGAATGGCCTACTGCTGCTCCTATGTCTTGTTATCTTACGATTGTGCTCTCTAGTCTCTGGAATGCAACGATGAGCCCATAATCTTCTGATTCATGGATAACCGGGGAACAGTACATCAAATTACTCTACCCTGAACCAGATCCAAAGTACACTGCTGAGGCCCATGTGGTGCACGTATACTACAGTAATTCCAAAGGGGCTGGGGGGGGGGGGGGGGGGGGGTGGAATTCCAGGGTTTGGACAATGAAGGAACAGCAAAATATTTCCAAGCCAAGATAGTGAGAGATTTGGAGGGTAACTTGCTGGTGGTGCTGTTTCCTTGCACCTGCTGCCATTTAAAATGCATTTAGATGTCAGGTGAATAAGGAGACAAGAGGAGGGATATGAACCATGTCCAGGCAAATGGAATTAGCTTAGAATAGCACAGACATAATGGGCCGAAGGACCTAGTCCTGTGTTGTACCGTTCTATGTTCTATGCCCTTGTCCTTCTGGATGGTACAGGTTTGTAAGGTAAGTAGCTGCTAATATATTTATACAGTTTATAACTATATTATAATACATAAATGAGAAATGTATGAACTGCAGGTGTAAAATAACTTTTAAATACTGCATAACACCTGCACATTGGTTATGTACAAGAAAACACACTCCAGCCATCACCTATTAAATGGTCAGACTTTAGAATCATTAGGCGTGGAAAGAAGCCATTCTGCCCATCAGGTTGCACTGACCCTTCGAAGAGCATCCCACCCAGACACAGACTCCCACCCTATCCCCGTAGCCCCACATTTTACCGCAGCCATTCCACCTAGCCTACACATCCCTGAACACGAGGTCATTTAGCATGGCCAATCCACCTAGCCTGCACAACTTTGGACTGTGGGAGGAAACCGGCGCACCCAGAGGATACCCACGCAGACACAGGGAGAATGTAGAAACTCCACACAGACAGTCACCCATTGCTGGAATGGGACCCGGGTTCTTGGTGCTGTGAGAGGATCTTTGTTACAGATGTAAACTGACCTTAAAAACAAAGTGATCAAAATAGATATTTAAATCCAGACCCTTTGAAAT